CCAATGAATGGTGAAATTAACTATCACGTTATAACGCTTCCAGGGTTGAAAGTGCGGGCATGTTTGGTGGGACGGGGATTCGAAACCGCGACCTGCAGATTGCGAGTCGAGCTCCTTAACCACGTGGCAATGTCAGGCCTCATTCATCGGAAGATGAGATTTCAACGCTGTCACTTAGTTTTATGTTAAATTATTCGACCAAAATAGATACCCCTGGTTATTCAAGCTTGATTTTTAGACACACACCCTAAGAACAAAAAGTGAATACACATCTTTTGGCTTTATCTGTTGCATAATTATCTATACACTTCTCACTACTGTAGGTAGATTTTTTACTTCTTTTTTGTCTTAAACTGTGCAGAAAACGATTATCTTATAATTGATTTTCTAAAGTGGACCATTAGAAAAAAAAAGTACGAAATCATATACAGTTGGCCAAACATTACACACGACATACGAAACACTTTTACTTGATTTAAAAGTATAAACACTCATTTGTTGAATTTCAGCACCGGATTCCATTTTAACGCAGACGAACTGGAGACAAAAACCTTGCTTTAAAAGAAACTCACATCACTTTGGTATTTGGAGATTAATACGCTAAACCCGTTTTTCATATCTGTCTAATCCCTGAAAAATCTGACCTGTATTTCACGTGACTACGAAATGAAGTTGGCTTTGATCTTCGACCTTTTCAAGTAATAGGGCAATTATGTTTTATATTAAGGTTCCTATCTGGCTGTTTTTTTTTTTTGTTAAAATGACCAAACGGCCGAAATTACTCAATCTATATACAGCGCAGAATAATAAACAACAACATGCATAAACATAAGGCATCACACAGAGATACTTGTTTTTTCTGTATTGACACTGTCAAACTGAAGTTACTACAGCAAAAAAACTTTCTCTTGCATGCGGTATCTGTATATATATTTCTTCCCCCTAAACACGATTTATAAACGTCACACCTTTTTATGTGGATGTCGGTGTATAACTAAACATTTAAGTAATGACTTAACTGATTAAACAATATATACCGCATGATATACATAAGCAAGGGTACCTGGGGAGATGAACGTGTCCATGTATATTCAACGTGCAAAAATCTAACATTTCGCTTCCTTTTTTGGTTTTAACCTTGGACACACTGACAAAACCTGTCGTTGTAAATATATAACATGAAATCCAAAATAACAAGATGTATAAGAATACACCATAATACCAAAGTTTATTTACATCTTGTCAGTAATTAAGTATAACTCATTATTAAAACTCAAAACTTTTAATAAGCTAATAATGTCCACCACTCACTAGTGTCTTTCACAAGTAGAAAATTAATTATTTAACACCCAGATATTTAAACATGCTGTTCAGGAACCACTTGATGGTGGCTAAAGAAACCTATATATGAGCTTATCTATAAAACACTCCTTCTGGTGGGATACAGATTCAACATTACAACTAAGTCAACGTGACATGATAAAATATAACAAAACCTTATAAAATCTACATCGCTATCAGAACGTTATATTCTATACTAATTAGAGAAGATGAGCGTAATGACTAACCAATCGCCTTCGATTGACCCTAAAAAAAAGGGGGTAGGAAGGATCTGTGTGGTCTAGTAGTCTGTACAGAAATTGTGAAGAAAAATGTGCTATCGTATAAATTACAGTCCAAACATGACGTGTTATAGACTTGCAATTGACAAGCACATGGATGTAAGATACTGTGTTAACTTTGTTATGAAAAATTTTAGCAGAGTATGCAAATTAATATCGGCATAAATCTATTATATGTTAAACTAAAAAAAAATCATTACAACAAATATTTACACTAATACAACTATATTTCGCGATTTTAAATATTTAATGTATTCCGTTAGTCTTAGCACTTAACTACATTTGAGTTACGTAAAATAATATCGAACATTATTTTTTGTTAGAAATTTAATTTAAGAATCAAATATTTCGTTTCATTTTAGCAAGTGGTACATCAATAGTTGTACACGTGTAAACAAAACCCATGTACTTATATAAGGCATATATGCAGGAAAAACAATATCTAACTAGCAAGGTATAAACAACAATGTTTTAGTAACTTTTCCTTAACAACATTTCATACCTGTACGCTACTCTCCACCCAAAAAATAAATAAATAATCCAAGCTATGTACAACGTGTATTTAGCAGATTGGCTATAACACACCGCAGAATAACACAAAATAACGTGTTAAATGAGACAATCTCGGAAAAAGAAAGTATTTATTTCAAAGTGACCCTTAATCAGGCTAGGATAACACAGGCCTGCGAATTTAAACTTAATAAAAGTTGTTTTGGTTTTTAATAACGGATTTTCCATAATTCAGCTACGCAGATTTCGAAAATAATATTATTATTTTTTTCTAACTTTTCTTACTTAGATCAAATTATCATTTCGTTTACCACAATGAAATTTTTTTATTGTTATGTTTGGGTTCTAGAACGATCGATAAGACTCTCACGTCGCTATTGATCTAGAGAAATTTACAGCCAGTGGTTGTCAACATTTTAAGCATAACATAATGTGATCCGATTCCAATGAAAAGTATTCACTTATGCAAAAGTTCATATAACGTTTTGTGAAAAATCTGTACGTGATGGAGAAAAATGGTTATTGTTTTCGGATTCAGCGTACAGGACTTACTGTAGGACGTGTAAAACTTTCAAGACAATAAAACCATCGCAGGCCTGTATTACTGGACAGATAAAATCAGATCGCCTAGTCTTCTTAATCTGACAAAATCTGGAAATGTCGCTTTCAAGTAAGTAACTTCGTTTCTCGGATATCGACTTTCTTCACAGGATATTTTATATTTGGAATCACACAAGCAACGTAAGTGGAGCTTTTATTCACTTTGTCTATAACACACTTCAAACGTTCGTTAACTAATAACAATATCCCATCTTTTGTTACATTCACACGACACAAACTCAAGCTATGTAAAAAACTTTACTTACCCAGCAGGGTACGCCACGACATTTTGTTGAGGATCACAGTCAAGAGCCGCGTTACTGGAGACAGTTAAACCTAACACTCGTTCTAATTTGGCCTGAAATTAATATATATATATATATATAAATATAAACACACTGTTAATGGAAACATGTCTAAACAAAAAAGAAGTAAAATATGCACAACAGTGTTGATAAAAATAAATCTATAAAAGTTTAAATCCGCTTCTGAGCATGTTGAATTTTCATGGTGTTCTTGAAATTGAATTGTCCATAACGCCATTAGTAAATAAACTGTATATATATATATATATATATATATCAAATGGCTGTTAGAGCTGAAGAATATACATAACTTCTACAACGTGTTCCTAGACATCCAATCTGTTGTAAACATTAATTACAATTTCTGAAGTGGTTTGTTATATGAACCTGCTTTGCGTGTATACTGATTTTTCCACTTCAAGTATTAAACAGCGAAGGTCTCAATCTATTAATTTTCAAACTTCGTAGCCATTACTAAAAGCCCGATAGTTTCTTCCTGTTACCTTGACCCCATTTCGATACAACCTATCTGACTAGTTCCAAGATTAACGGAAAGTTCTGATCTAAATTAATCAAGCTGTACTTGAAACATGTTTTACAATGCATACATACAGACATATACACAGAAGAAGAAAAAAAACAACCTTAACATCATTGACTGAATGTATAAGTTTTTAGCAGATAGTCAAAAACATGATGTAGAACAAAATATTCTTGATATCAATGATCGAGAGTATAATAAACGCGTTGTGACGAACAAAAATCTGTCGATATCAGTATAGTTGAGAATAATAACCGCATTTTACCGCCGTTTATATCAGTTGTCGAGAGTATAAAAAACGCGTTTTAACGAACAAAAATCTGTCGATATCAGTATAGTTGAGAATAATAACCGCATTTTACCGCCGTTTATATCAGTTGTCGAGAGTATAAAAAACGCGTTTTAACGAACACGAATTGTGTAACCTAAACTTGATATATGTGGTCCAGAGTACAATATATCTACTGATATCTGTGTTCGACAGTGTATTGTAGAGAGACAAACACAATGTTCAAAACATATCCATGTAGACAACACTAGCCGAGCTATTTTGACAGACAGACTGACTGAAACATGATAACAAATAATTATGTTCACACAGTTTGGCTGGGGAGGAGGGTATTATAATAAGTGTTCTATACTTATTTTTCACTTAGATGTTTGCTATTTTAAATCGCGAATCAGGATAATAACACAAGAGATCACCAATAGTGAATTAGTATAACGTATTCCCGACACCTTAAAACGACACACATTAAAACTCGCAAAATTTGAACTACAGCAGCCCTATACTTTACACGGTTTGTTTACCTGTAATTAAACATAAGTACGTATTTAATCCGTATTTTATAATTAATTTTCACACTAGTTTGTTTCATAATTTTGCGCAAAGTTATACAAACTGCCTGTTTACAAGCTGGCTGGCTTCTCTTGTTTGATCTAACAATAGAATTTGTGCGTTATTGTTATAGCACATCTAAATGCAGAGTGAGTTTGTTTTTTGCGCCAACGGGTCGCGAACGAGGGAATCCTTGGCCCGATAATCTGGGCACGCTAACCACTGGCCACTAGAATTGCTATGACCTTATCATTTAAATGCAAATTTTATTACAATCTCTAATATCATTAAGTTTTTGATGTGAGCTAGTAAAATGACAGTCATTTGCTATTATTGGTTTCTCAGAGTCAAACTTATCACCACTCACTATAGGCTACACTTAACTATTAATATACATAGACATCTACATTCAAACCTAAAATATATATATTACACAACTTGTGTTACTATTATCCTAGAAAAGCGGTGGTTAATATATACGTTCGAATCATTTTATGTATCAAATTTATTTAAATTTCGCCAGTTGTCCTGAATATATAATTGAGAAGGAATATCAATGAAACCTCGACGAAGGGAAGTATGTAGAGTATCCTGTTAGATTCTTACAGATACACAACAAGCCCTTATCAAAACTACAACGAACACCTTAAGGGCTAGATCTGACACACAAAACATAAGCAAGCTGCTACTCAACCTATTATTTTAAAGCTTCATTACGTGGGTTATTTACCAAGAAATGACATTAGCATCCCATCCCTAACATCGCCCACAGGTCACATTCCTTCCTGCTGATTAAGTGGTATGAATAGCTCCTAATTCGGATTATTTTACAAGGTGACATAATTTTTCGCTGGTAGCTAATACCTTACCATGATAATGAAACAGAACGAAGATGAAGTTGAACAGGTAAGCTACCACAAAGAATAACAATGGGTGGTAACATTTATAAGCATGATTCCAATTATATAATTGCGCTTCCATACACTGCAAAAAACATGGGAATACTCATAAACACGCTTCTACACTACTAACCCCTGGAAGTACACATAAACGTGTTTATATACTAAGGACATCTGGAAATACACACAAACAAGCGTCAACACAACAAACCCCTGAAAATACACAAACATATTTCTACACTACAAACCCCTGGAAGTACACATAAACGTGTTTATATACTAAGGACATCTGGAAATACACATAGAAATGTTTATATACTAAGAACATCTGGAAATACACACAAACAAGCGTCAACACAACAAACCCTTGAAAATACACAAACATATTTCTACACTACAAATCCATGGAAGTACAGATAAACAGGCTTCTACGCTATCAATCTACGGGAATACACATAAACAGGGTTCTACGGTACAAACCCCTGGGAATACATATAAACAAGGTTCTACACTATAACCCCCTGGAATACACATAAACACGTTTTACACTGTAGAAATCTTCGCCTACACATACAAACATGCTTTTATGTATTAAAAGCCTTTACGTATAAAACTTTAGTTTCACACACAGTTAAAAATAAATAGAAAATATCTCAGACTGCTGACTTTTATTTTTCTCTTCTGCATAACGTTTCGAGTATGGAAGATTATAATTCCAACAAGGTTTTAAAACAAAAAGAAGTGAAACGATCAATGACGCAGTGAAAATTACTTAAGTTCAAATGAATATAATTGAAAATCAGTACAAATATCGATCATTTCGGATACATGACATATATCTACCGCCTTATAAAATGTATCCGTGAGGTTTTATAACTGAACTTTTGTTCATGTTTACACAATAACTTGTTAATCATTAGGTTGTTTGTTTGTGTGTGTGTGTGTGTGTACATAAGGTACAACTGTGTGACGAAGGTCAAGTTCAAAATCGTAACACTTTATGACGTGGGGCAACATCTCCGTGTTTTAACCTGAATTACCTTGTGGTAAAACATACACGTCTCTCCTACATAACGTTAGAAAATGTTATCAAGCGTTCAGTTCGTTCCACTCCTTAGCACATGAGGATTAATTTTGACGCTACACAGAAACGGCTTCACCGTAATTTACAAATCACAACATTTCTTAGGGCCACTCGTGTGTTTGTAATTTCCTGACAATTGACGCCGCTATGAGTAATGCCGCAGGGAAACGGTTTTAGCTCTTAACACTCCAACACCACAGTTCAAAGATTGGAGAAGAGGTCAGCGTGGGTATTGTGGGATAAAGCTCTTAATGACGAAAGTCACTAACCGTGTGCCAAACGATAAGCGTTCCCCAGACTCTCACAGAGGGGTAGTAGATTTCTTAGCGTCTGTGATTCGGGGTATTAAATGGAATTAAATGATGCCCCAAGGTCTTTTCTAAGAATAAGGGATCAACAAATATTCAGAAGAAAAAAAAAGGTTTTTGGGGCCGCGCAGTGCTAATATTGTTAAGTCGCAGGTGGTTGATTATGTTACTGTAAAGATGAACTTATGCTTAAGTTGTCACTGACCTCTGACCACTCCTTCTGTCACCAATGCGTGAAAACTAACAAACAAACAAAAGACATATCTTCTATTTTTATTTTTTTACCTTACACATTAGTGGAGAGAATAAGCTTCTACAAGTTATGTTAGCAAAACCGTAAGGACGGAGTTAATGTAATTCAAAAAATACTTTGCAAAGACAATAACTTATAATATTAAAGAGCGCGCATATAATGTGAGTGAGTATGTATGTGCGTGACATTTTCGTTCGGATTTTTTTTAAAACCTGGATCTCAATTGTTCAGCTAAAATTATTCTTGGACATACTTATGAATTTAAAGATTTTCTTTCCCACTGTTTATAATAATACATATTGTTCCTTTGAGTGAAAACCTAGTGGAGCAGTGTTAGTTGGTCGGAACTAGCCATGAGCTCATTCAACATTCAACATAAAATTACCCTGTCGGAAAAACTAAACTTATAAATACATACTCTATTTTAAAACACAAATGGTAACTAGTGTATTCAACTATGCTCTATACAACAAGACATGCCAGTAATACGATGTTTGTTCCTGAAATACATTATTTCAAATCAAGTACAACTGTATTTATAAAAAGAAATCAGTGTATAATACTTCTCTGGTTATTCGCCAGGTTTACGATTATTTATCTCCTCATCAGTTCAAAGCTTATTTTTTTATTGCTATTCTACCTGTTATCAATGTGATGCAGCGTTCCTTTCGGTATTCAAAGTTGCTCATTTTCTTAAATAACATCATAATTTTCTCGTTTCGGAAATAATTTATTATTGTTATTTCACTGTTAGTTCAAAGCTTATTTTTTTTTATTGCTATTCTACCTGTTATCAATGTGATGCAGCGTTCCTTTCGGTATTCAAAGTTGCTCATTTTCTTAAATAACATCATAATTTTCTCGTTTCGGAAATAATTTATTATTGTTATTTCACTGGGCACGCTCGGTCGGGAATAAATAATGCATCGCTATGATTATGCTTCCGTTTTCAATAACAAAAAGAATATTAACTTCTAAAAATATTTATACCTAAGTCAATTACAGAACCTGAATGATTTGTTTGTTTTTGAATTTCGCGCAAAGCTACACGAGGGCTATCTGCGCTAGCCGTCCCTAATTTAGCAGTGTAAGACTAGAGGGAAGGCAGCTAGTCATCACCACCCACCGCC